AGCCTAAGAAATAGACAGAGAAGCCTCCCTTCCTGTATGTACTATTACTGTTCCCAGTTCTGCTTGAAGCTTGAGCCCTGGCCCCTTTTATATCTATGAGACTGCTTATCCCTACAATAAACTGACTGTATATTGAGCTAGTGTTTAGGTTTCTGTTAATTATAATCCAAAGGAAGCCTGTTTAAAACAGACACCTTGAATTTTGTAGTCCGTCCTCTTAAACCTGCATTTGTGGTTGTATTGGGCCGGAACCACAAGGTTCTTCATTATAACCCTCTGTTGTTCTTTACTAAGAGCAACTGCATCAATGTACATATAGACATCTGATTTTGCGGCCCTGCCAGCAAATGGTCTCAGTTCCTTAAGTGAAATTTTCAGGAGAACATATGCCCATGTGACAAAACCCAGCGGGCAGTGGTTCAGGAACTGAGGGAGAGATTGAGGAGGCCATTGTGAACCGAAGGATCAGAGTCTTCCGAAGTCTGTTGGACAAGCCAGCAAAATCGGACTGCTGTATGAGTACCTTCCTGATTAATGAAGAAAACTATCTAATTGAATAATGACCCTTTTTCTCATCATCCTTAAAAATATCTGTTTTGGTGATAGAGTCCTTTATTATCACTTACGATAATTCACGAGCACTTGAAATTCTCAGCTCTCTGAAACTATTATGCCCAGCTACGCCCACGGTTACTGCTGACCCATTCTCTTTTTCTTTCCTTCATGCACACTCATCATTGTGTGCAGCCCGCACCATGTGAATTCTGTCATTGTAAGCTCATACACTTCCCTCACCTCTCCATTAATCCCTGCACTTCCTTTAGACTCAGCTCAAATCGCTCCTTTACCACGAAGCCTTGCTCAGAGCCTCCAGCTGCAAACCTGACAACTGTTTTGGAATTCCTTTAGCTCAGGATTACTCAACTGGAGTCAGTTTTGTCCCTCAGGGCACATTTGGTAATGTCTGAAGATGTTTTGGGTTGTCACAACTGGGGGGAGAGTGCATTTAGTTGGTAGAGGCCAGGGAGGTTGCTAAACATCCTACAATGCAACAAATAGTCACCCTACAATGTCAATTATGTTGGGAAACCCTACAGTTGAGCCCGACTTTGGCACCATGAACCTGCTCATGTCATTACTCATTACGGTGCAAACTCTAAGGGCTGGATGGGGAACTTAAGAAATCAGTTGTTGCTCTCCTGAGTTATATGGGTACGAAGACTGGCCGAAGAGAAGCTGCCAAAAGTTGCCAAGAGCGCCTTTGGCAGGGCTTTATCCCCTGACCCCTGTGCCTCTGACCAGTTGTTCCATTTCATTTCTCTAAGCAAGGGTGGGATCTTTTACTAAATGTGCGGTGACACTCCCCTTCTACCCTTAGTCAGTCACTAAGAACACAGGACATACTCGTCAGGTAGAAATAACCCTACTTTGTATAAAGTATCATTTTATTTCCCCGCAAATTTATTTTCTTAAAGAACTGTGGCCTTTTCTCCTGGATATAACTGCTCAAAAGGAAAGACTGACTACATCTAAATCACAGACAGAGGAAATTCTGTGATCTTCTGCGGAAGCATGTTCCACATTAATCAGAGTAAAGACCAGCCAACTGAGTCTTACACATTTAAATGACGGTGATGAAAATTACCACCTTAGCAGCCCAGAGGTAAACAGGAAATATTTTTACTAAGGGGAATAATCAACCAAATTCTGAGAGAGAAATTGGAAAATAACTCTAAACAGACAAATAACAAATCAACAAAATACAGAACCTTATTCATAACCCATTTCCATACATAAATAATTATTCTCCTTGGATAAAAAATATAAAAGGAATTGTTGAGAGAATTCAAAAAGGAGAGCTGATCGGCTAGTATTCTGCATTTTGGAGGCAGAACAGTATAAGAAGTTCAAGTGCAGGCCTGGAGCAAGAAGATCCTGGATTTGAGTCCTGGCAGCGCAGAGAGCAGCTGTGTGACTTGGGTAAGTGCCTTGTCCTTCAGATCCCAGTCCCCACAGCTTCAAAGTGAGGATCAGTAACACTACTTCCCAAAATAGGAAATTGTGAGGACTTGATGAAGGAACACAGGAAAAGTGTTACTTTTTTAGCCATGGGATCAGGCTAAATCCAAGCCCTGAATAAATGAGATCAATTGTTGCCATGCCATAGTTTCTACCTACTGTACTTTAATTTGACTTCTGAAACAATGGGAAAACCACTTAGTCTTGCTACGTCTATTTTTATTTTCTCAGAAGAAATATGACATCCCCTTCCTAACACAGAAGAGAACTTCCATCGCATTGGAATCTTCACATTGAATTATTGGCCAACCAGCTCTTCTTTTCCCATTTAAAATAAAACAGTAAGCAAAAACTTTTACATATGCATATGTGGGGCTTTTAGATTGTGTGACAAGTGTGTAGTCATAAGTATCTAAAAGACAATTTAAGTAGATCTGGCTGGTGTAGCTCAGTGGATTGAGCACAGGCCTGCGAACCAGAGGATCGCGGTTCGATTCCCAGTCAAGGCATATTCCTGGGTTGCAGACTGGTTCCCTGCAGGCCAATTCCCAGCAGGGATGCATGAAAGGCAACCATACATTGATGTTTCTCCCCCTCTCTCCTTCCCCTCTAAAGATTAAAAAAAAAAAAAAAGCTTTGCTTGTAAAAAAAACACACACAAAAAACGATTTAAGCTTGATCTTCCTTCCTTCCTTCCTTTCTTTCTTTCCTGTATTTCTCCTTTTAACATGATGTGCAAATGCACTTACACGGTTGTGTGACAGTATAAGATGTCTATACAGAGAGTGTCAAGCATTCATGTTGCATGGGGAAGTCTGAGAAGGAAAATTTCAGACACTTCGGTTTCAACCCTGCCTCATACTAGGTATGAGATATCAGGCGAGTCACTTAACTCTCATCTGTAAAGTAAGGGGCTTGGTAGATGATTACTATTGTTTCCTCCAGTTTTACTTACTGGGTTGTATTTTTATTTTTGGACAGTCGCAACAGACATCCGATTCAAATATGTTGTTTAGAATGATCTTGCCATTGTGTTTTAAAGATTTTATTTATTTATCTTTAGAGATCGAGGAAGGAAGGGAGAAACAGAGGGGCAGAAGCACTGATGTGAAAGGGAAACATCTAACTGCCTCCTCTTGTACATCCCCTGACAAGGGACTGAACTTGAGGCCCAGGTATGCCGAACTGGTGTACTTCTGCTTTGCAGGATGATGCCCAACCAACTGAGTCACACTGGTCGCGGCGGATCTTATTTTTTTAATAGAAAGTACAATCTTCACAAGAAGAGAGTGAAACATCATTGGATTTTAAAGTGATACTTTAAAATTTGAATGCATCTCTTTGTCCAAGCATTTTGCCAGTTTATGTTCCCAAACTAGATTTTTGGCTGCAGTTGAACAGGACCCCACGCTTAGGACTCCATGATCAACTTAATGCTCTGCTATTGCTGCCTTGAAATTCTTAATGTTTGAACAAAAGGCCCCGTGTTTTTGTCTCACACTGGGCGCTGCAAATTATACAGCTGGCTGCAACTTACAGTTTACAGTGTAATTTCTAGGCTCAGGACTCTTTCCTTTTTTTAGTTAGAAACCTACACTGACCTCTTTTCCCTTCAGCTGTTCTCAGTTTTTTTTATGTTGGTATAAAACTACTTCACCACCTAGACTGCAGGACGGGCGGACAGCTGTGCACAGGACACACAGTGCCCGCCTGGACTTCAAAGGGCAGAGGCTCTATCACTCAGCCCAGCCATCTGTAGGGGTGGAGCTTCTGTCAGTGGCAATCCCACAGTAGTGCAAATGTTTGCATGAGTCTAGTAGATTGCATGGAGGGCTCAGCGAAAAATAGTCCTCCTTTGAAAATTGGAGGCTGTTAGCCAGGTCAAGGAAGAACTCCATTCTCTGAACACCCCCAGGCCCCAGCCCCTGGCCTTATCGGTGTTAGTATTTTCTCAAAGCCTGACCACTCTGCTTTAGGGGTTTCCAAAGTGAAGTAAAGAGGTAACTACTCAGAGAAGGGCTCTGAGTTCAATCAGTGCTTGGAATGATGATTTAACTTCAAAAATCAGTTCTAATCCCTTAGTGTGTGCTATCATTCCATTCTGCCAGGCGCCGCATAGCTGGAAGCAAACACAAAAAAGATGAGCTAATTCCAATCTATTGCAGCCATTCTGGGTTTACTCCCCCGCCTGTGAAATGTGTATACTACTCAGGTTGCAGAGCTGATGTAAGGATGTAAGGAGATAATAAGTGACTAGGCACTCGAAGAACTACTTCCGGGTGAAAGTATTTGCAAGGTGTCATGTAGGCAAATGATTTTTTTTGGAAAAAGCAATGTATTCCTGGAGGTATGTACAGGTTTCCCCCCACCCCCACTAATAGGAGTAGCTTAAATGGAAGCAGAGATAGGACGACATTTAAATTATTTGCCTTCTCTAAATTTTCAAACAGTGGAACCTGACATCCAGCGCAGCGGCCCACTCAGACCAGTCACGGAGGAGAATGCCAGCCAAAAAGAGATGGCAATGGAGAAAAAAGATAGCGCCCACGCCAATGTTGGCCATGTCTGCATACAGAGCTTCCTCCCCTGTTGCTTTCCTGTTTCCACGTCCGCCTGGTACTAAAGCCAGGGAATGCAATCCCACTCTGCTCTCGCCCCGGGCTCCCGGGCTATTCTCCCAGTATCAGTAAAACCAGACTAGGAAAGGAAGCGGACTCCTTGAGAAGAGGCGGGGCCCGGTCTCCGTGGGCGGGGAATGAGGGGTGGGGCCATGGCCTATCCAGACCGGGAAAGACAGCAGGCTGGGAGGGGCGGGGCGGGGCCAGGCTGAGGTGGGCGGCCGAGGGGCGGGGCCACATGGGCTTACGCGAAGTCAGGCGGAGCCCGGGGCAAGGCACTGAGAGGCGGGGCGGAGCAGAGGTGGGTGGGACTGGAGGGGAGGGTCCAGGGTGGGGTGGGGTTCGCATCGGGGCGGGGTTGCCGCGCGCTGGGGTTGAGCTCAACCACTTCTTCCTCCAGCCACCTCCAGATCCGTGGCTTCTGCCTGAGCCCTGGACGAGGCGTCCCAGGTCTGGGAGGAGGGCGAAGGGACCTGGCGATGGCTTCCCGGGGACTCCCGGGGTCCGCCGTGCTCACTGCTGCTGTCTTTGTGGGAGGCGCCGTGAGTTTGCCGCTCGTGGCCCCGGGTGAGTTCCCCGTTAGCGCTGGGGCTCGTAAGAGAAGGCTAGGGATAGAGACTGCAGCCCCGCTGCGCCCCGCGCAGCTCTATTCCCGGCCCGTCGCGGGATGCGAGGTGTCCGGGGTGGCCCGAGAGTTCGCGGAGCTTGGCGACCGCTCTGATCCCTCCCTTCCCGCCTGCGGGGCTCCCGCCTTCACTCTGCTCGCTGGCTTCTCGGCGGACCTGTTACCCCTGCCCCCACCTCTGAGCTGTCCCGGGTGTGCGGATCGAGCCCGGTCTTGCACGCTTCAGGTGCGCTTCCGCTCGGCACCTCCGAGACCCGCCAACCCCTTTTGTGCCGCCCCTGTCCTCAAAGGCCCGACGAGCGGAAGAGCGTGACACAGGGGACCCGGTGCAGTGGCGCTGTCGCCACTCCGCCCCCCCCCCCCCCCCCCGCCGCTGTATAATTTAAAACCTTGGGGAGTTTCAATTTCTTTACTTTCCAAGTTTTCATTTATTTTAGTGGTGGATGAATTTTTGTAACAGGTTGGGAATTTCAGATTTCTTCTCACATATCCTGTATGAATCAGGCTTGGAAAAAGGGAAGGCGTGTTTGTAAACTTACGTTTTTTTCTTAGTCGAGTCCTGTCACCACAAAAGGAACCTAATGTGGTCAGAGCAGGAAGCTGCCAACTGAGTTGATAAAGTGTCATCTCCAGTGATGAATTCAGAGCAGGAATTTGTCGTTGAAATCTAAGAGGATATGTAAGTTTTATGGAAGTCCTATGTCAAACTCTTGTTTTTATAACTGTAGGCACCAGGGATTCCTTACCACCATTCCCCCTCTTAACTGCCACCTTACTGAGTAGTTTAAAAATAATTATAAATATATACCTTCTTGGCCAGTTGGGGTCACCACGACCTAGAATTTTAGGTCAGCGAGCTGTTCTAAGCTTGAGCAGCTCCTCTTCAGGTCCAAATAATAAGCATCTGGAAGTCTCCCAACTGTGACTATCTCCTCCATAAAAACATACACTGTTCTTCACTTTGGCTTTCACTTTTTCATAGAAAACAGAGCATGTTAGAAAGGAAACAGAATGGCACAAACCGTATTTTTTGGACTTCCCCCAAATTTGGGGATAAAGGGGGTGCATCTTATAGTTGGAATGTAGCTTACCTGGCTCGCTGGGGGGTGGGGAGGCAGGCAGCAGCCTGTTATTTATGTTAGTAAATATTTTACCACATTTTTACTTCAAAAATGTTTTCCTATTTTCCTCTTCTAAAACCTAGGTGCATCTTATGGTCTAGTGCGTCTTACAGTCTGAAAAATTCGGTATATCTCCTGAGCCTTTATTAGCAGACACGTATTTCCTCCAGCCATCCACCCTGGGGAGGTGGCAATTAGTGACATGATTATAGGATGGGAGACTTTGGTTTCAGCCTGTGTGTCATTGCTGAGACAGGTCAGTGCGTTACCAGGTTCAAAATGGACCCGAGGTTGTAGACAGTAGTTAGAGATACAAAGTCAGTGTCTCCAGAATTTGAGGAGCTTAACCTGGGAGTAAAATTCAGCACATGCTGCATCAACCAGAGAAAACTGTCCCTAGAGTAGGTTTGTGTTTCCTTGGATCTCCGAGCAGCACCAGCTCTCAGGACTAGAATGAAGAAAACTGTCATCTAATCGCATAGTAATCTCTCTCTCTCTCTCTGTCTTAATGAAATGGATCACTTGAGAAGAATAAGGTGTCTAAAAAGGAAAGAATCCAGAGTATAAATGTGTCAGGGTGACTTGAGACTTGACCAGTCAGCATTGGTTACCCAGTGGAATCTAAGACAGTGCTAATGTTTGTAGAGAATGTTAGGGAGGTAGAAAGAAATGGGAAGTAATGTTGAGTACCTGCTGTGTGCCAAGTTTCGAGTTGGGCACTTCATATGCATTTTTTACGGTTATTTCTCATAATACTATGAAGTTCTTACTTCTGTGAGGCAGCTGAGGCCCAGAGCAGTTAAACAATTGGTCCAACATCACATAGCTAGTCTATCAGCCAGCATTTAATCAGAGAAGCAGAACCACTAGCAGGGGTGTGTGTGTGTATCTTTATTTGTATCTTTATCTTTGATAACCTAGCCAGCTTAATTCCAAAGTTCATTCATTCATTTTCCACTGTACCCACTGCTCCCGAGTGAGAAAACAGAACAGAAATTAGCCTGGGCAGTCCTGTTGAGATTCTAAGAGAGGGAGTTTGAGACAAAAAATTGTAAGCATGAGGTTATAAGAAGATGGGAAGCAGGAGAAAGTAGAACAGATAACTTCACAGTGGGTAGTGGCCATGTCTCTCACTTCCTGCCTAGTAGGAGAATCTCATTAAATTGCTGTCTCTCAGTAACAGCATTTGAAACTCTATGCCATAAGCAGCAGAAGGGATGATTTTTCACATCTTGGCTTATGTGTGTCCTTAAGTTCTCTGGTTACTCAACCTTTGGGCTTGTTTCACTATGTGACAGTGGGCACGACCTTCTAGTAAGGAGTGGGCGGCAAAGGTCCAGGGACTGGTGAATAAGAAGTGCTCTCTCCCTGGGCTCTGTGGGCTGCCATCCAGCCTCCTGACTCCTCATTTAGATGCCAAAGATAAGCTTTATTAAATCTGGTTCTCCTTTGGCCCGATAGCTACTCAGATGTACATCCACATCAAACATAATCAGTAGACAGAATATTTTGAGAAAGCACCCCTTGAAGCTTGGGATTCCAAGACCAAGCTTAATTTAAAGAGGAAATGAAAAATTTGAGAAGTGCTTGTCATTCCCTCTCTTCCCCTCCCACCCCCCATCCTGCACCAAAGAAATTAATCAAACAGTCTATTTGGGAGTTTCAGTAGTTGAACTTGAATGAGAGAGGTCAAAGGCCCAGGTGATAGGAGTAAAAAAAAAGAATACTGTTACTTTTTCAAGAATTGTTTGGTTCTGAAGTTGAAGTTTAATTATATAATGAGAAATTATTTAAAACTGACAAAATAATTTAAATTGTCATTGTTTAAAACTGTTATGTTGAGTGGTTTCTAATTATTTTAGGGCAGTTACATCAATAACTGGTAAAGATTTGATGGGCTGCAGAAAGCAGGTGGAGTAAGGAGTGTGGTGTGGCCATCAAGGACTGTAACTGGAATTTGGAGTGAGTGCATAACAGACACTCTACTCTTTTTGAAGGAAGGAACGCAATGTTATCGTACCTGTTTTGTGGCTGGCTCTGGGCTATGCACTCAGGTCATTACATTCTTATACCACTCTGTCCTGTAATAAATATTGGAATAAGTTAAATATTCTTTTTCCTAATAGATGAAAAAATTGGGTCTCTGAGAAGTTAGCTTGAAAAAGTCACTCAATAAAGTATATAGTTGTCTATCCCCAGTGCTATACACCTCAAACTAATACAAAATAATATTGAAGGTAAACTGTACTTTAAAAATAAAATTAAAAAAAAGAAAAGGTCACTCAAATTTGAATTTTGACCTTGGTCAGATCTATTCAGTTCTAAAGCCTGTTCTTATTATTAATATTGCCAAATCACTTTTTTTCTTTCAAGTGAGAATTTTTTTTAATTCTAAGATATTTATAAAGAATTACCAAGGGGGATGGCAAAATATAGTAGAAAGAGCATTGAAGTCAGAGTCCTGGACTTGAGTCAAAAGTCGAGAAGAGGCACTGCCACTTTCGGGAGTGTGGCTGTCTGCTTCCATTCTCTCCCCTGGAAAATGGGCGTGTGCCAGCTCCCGTCTTTGCCTGCCTTACTGCCTGCTAGTAGGGTCAAAGGAGCTATTGCCTCCGAAAGGTCTTAGCAAATGGCAAAGTGGCATTTATCTTTTATCCTGTGTATTTTTTTTCTGTATTTCTTCCCCAAGGTGTCCATCAGTTTGGGAGGATATTATAATTTGAACCAAACTCTCTAATATGTGTATACCACTAACAGTGTAAGGTTTTCATCCTGGAGGTGGTGATGGTCTTGCAATGATAGATTCATTGTGAATATATAAAAGCCCAGAGCGACACCCCAGATTCGTGAGTTTGCTGCCATCGACTGGGAGGCAAGTCGCCAAATCTTCTTTTCCCATTTTCTCTCAGCTAAAATACAGTGCTCTTCATATTTTTGGAAAATTCCCCACAAGATTTAAAGTTTGAGGAAAAAGGGATCTCATTACTCCAAGGTACTCGCCTGTTCGGCCGTTTCATTCTGGTCTTCTCTCTTTTTTCTCTTTCTCTCTATGTTATTTGGATAGGATCATGCAAATATAATTTTATGTCTTGTGTTTTTCACTTAATGTTCTACACAAAGGTTTCTTCATTTTCCTGTACTCAAAAAAAATGGCTGCATCATATTCTGTTTTATGGATTCACTCCGTTTTACCTCATTGTGCCTCTATTTTAGGAAATTTCAGTTGTTGCTAATTATTTTCAAATGAATTTTAAAACTCACTATTTCAGTGACCATCTATGCATGAAGCTTTGTCTAGATATTGATGAATTCCCAGCAAAGCAGTTCCTGAAAAGGCGTCCCGGGGGTTGGCGGTATTCATGTTATTGAGGCACTGGGGACATCAGTGTTGGTGACCTGCAGGGTGTCCCAGTTTATATTCTCAGCAACAGTCGAAGGACTCACTTTTCATACCATTGTCATTTTCCCTGAAAAGTGTATTTGCTGATTTGTAGTGTAAAAATTGGTACCTTAATTGTTTGAGTTTGTATGGTTTTGATTAGCGACTATGTTTTAAAAATCGGTACCTTAATCGTTTGAATTTGTATGGTTTTGATTAGTGACGATTTTTTAAAAATCAGTATCTTGATTGTTTTGAGTTTGTATGGTTTTGATTAGTGGTGTGATGACTATTTTTTAAAAAAAAATCGAATCCATTTGCATATGCCCATGATCCTTTATGGATGATTCTGAAAGCTGAAAATCAAAACATTGTTTTGAGGCTTTTTGCTTGTTCTGTGGTGGCAAACCCTAATCTGAACCAATGTGAGATTCCATAGTAT